GTGGTTTCTTATGACAGTAGACACTAACGCCTATTTATTAATTATTAATTATCCAGACGATTGCATGAGAAATTTGATGAAATCTCATGCATATGCATGATGATATCATTTCTATTTTTTTCTAATGTTGCTTTAGGTGAAAAAGAAAAAAACAAGAAGGAAACTTGATTATATATTATGAAGCCAACAACCATGTATGCCATGTTCTTCTGTCCTGTCTTATTTTTTTTCTCATTTTTGAAGCAGATTGTAAGTGCAAAATAAGGGCAATAATAAACGTTCTATTTACTGATGTATCTCATTAATTATGTATTTTTTCAATTTAATGTGCAAAACATACGAGAATCAAGGGGAGAAATCAATTTAAAAAAAAAGATATTACCTTGTTGTTTCTCTATTCAATTATTGTATTTAATATTTTCTACAACAACGAATAATAATAACAACAACAACGAATCAAATGTCATCAAGCAGCGATCTAATAAGGTTCTCAATTTGCACAAGCTCTATCTCAATTTGTTCTAGTTGTTAGTGTATCGAAAAATAACAAAAACAACTTTACCTATCTCTTATTTTATATGACTTTTTAATACATTGAGAAGGTCATTTTTATTCTATGATGTTGTATAGAATGTGAATAAAAAAGAAGAAGCAAAAAATAACAGATGAAAGAATTTATATTTATTGTTTTTTTTTCTAATTACGTTTTTTTCTCTCTATGTATATATATATATATATATATATGTATATATGTATATATGTATTTTGTACTCAAATACCCCAATCATGAACATAACATATACACATATGTTTGAGTGATTATGTTTTAGTGTCAATATTTGAATGATATATGAATGAAATTCAATATCTATGTTAATACCTATTGCCATTGTAACTAAAACATATACATCAAAATGAAGTAAAAAAATAAATTATTTGGTGTTTTTCTATACATGTACGAAACTATGTCAGTTGTTCAGATATATCAATGTTCCAGATAAATTAAAGCAATTATATATAGATATATATAGATATATATAGATTGTCCTCCAGTCTACTTGTTGTTGTTTTTACTTAGAACTAGATAATTATATAGTTATCTTCGTGCATAAAGATTTATCTGTTTGTTTTTTCTCGCATCTGTAGATACCCAAATTCTTTTCGACATTGTTTCTTGTCCTTTTTTTCTGTCTAGTATCATTCTTACAAGAATATACTAATTTTCTGGATCATAAAATAAGATATATCGAGTACAATGAACATATTTTAGTACTTTTTTTTCTATGTTAGATAATTTATCATTCTTCTTTTCTTTTTTGTTTTCTTATCTTCAAGTAGGAAAAAAATAGACCTATTAACTATAAGTAGTGTTAATCGAGCAATTTTCCTTGCCGAAGACAAAGTCTGTTTATAATGTGTCTTGTTTCAATAGCGTCATCATTCTATTGAATATAACATGCTGATTTGACAATTGCTTGAAAAAAAAAAGAAAGTAACAATGGACTGTACGTTGTTATTGCACATATTTGAATGAATGAGTTTCATAAAAGATTTTTATGTGCGTCACTTAAATATGCACATAGACGTCGAGGGACAACAAAGTAAAGGAGAAAATGAAAGAAAAATAAATCGGTGATGCAGAAGATTTCAAAACAAAATAGTCTATTAATGTATTTATGTTGATTGGTTGGAATATTTAAAATGAAATTAATGACATATCCACCAACCATTTCTTCCACATTCTGATTTTTTTTTCTATTAAAAAAAAACAAAAGAAAAAAATAATAAAAACAATCTAGAATGGATGAATGATAATCAAAAGAATTCATATTAAAAATTGAGAACCTAGAATATAAAAGAACAAAATGAAATTGATTTTATTCTATAAATATGAAATTTCTCAACCGTATGTTTGTTGCACTATCTAACATATCACATACGATGTAGTCAACACCTATCGAAGATATAAATAACTTTTTTTTTTTTTTTTGGTAAATAAATGACAATCAATCAACAAAAATGTACGCAAACTGAAAGCTGTCATATTCCTAGGCAATACATCAAATGATTTCGTTATTAAAACAAAAAAAAAGAAGAAGAAGAAGAAGAAGGTCGTTAATGTTTAGATCGAATACAATAAAAGAAACAAAGAGGAAAAAAAGAAGAAGAAAGAAGTAGTTATTAATAATATTTAATGTGAACAATGTTGATCATTTGTTAATTGAATATTTAAATTTTTATTTTTTAAACTTTCATCAATTAATTGACGCATATGTTCAATATCTTTATTTGCTTGTTTACTTTCAATAAGTGCTGAACCTGATACAATCATATTTGCACCAGCTTGTGCACAATCTTCAATTGTTTTTAAATTAACACCACCATCAACTTCAATATGTAATAATTGTGGATAATTTTTTCTTAACCAACGTATTTTATCCATCATATCATTCATAAATTTTTGTCCACCAAAACCTGGTTCAACAGTCATTATTAAAATAACATCAATATCATTTATAAAATCACTTAAAACTTTAACATCTGTTTTAGGTTTTATACCAATTCCAACTTTCATATCAGCTTCTTTTATTTTTCGTATTATATCATAAATATTATCTGATGTTGTTGATTCAATATGAAATGTATATTGATTAACACCAGCACCAGCCATTTCTTCAATCCATTGTTCAGGTTTTGATACCATCATATGAGCATCAAAATAAACATTTGGAATATTTTTACGAAGACATTTTATAACAGGATGACCAATTGTTAAATTTGGTACAAAATGACCATCCATTACATCAAGATGTAAATAATCAGCACCAGCATTAAGAAGACGACGACTTTCTTCAGCTAATGTTGATAAATCAGCATTGAGAATAGATGGACCAATAAGTCCTTTTAATTGTTTTGGTAATGAATTCATCTATCTAAAATAATTTATATTTAAGAATGTATTTATAAATAAATCATATTCTATGAATATTGAAGTTTGCTATATTTTGTAATTAGAGAATTTTAAGGCAAAAAAAACAAAAATCCGAGACGGTTTATCTTAGGAAAAGAAATACGATCTATTTTGTCGTTATTATTATTTTTTTCATTCGATAGTATACGATTAATTATCTAGTTGGATAAAACAAGAACAATAAAATATTTCTGTGTTAATTGAAGAAGTACGAAAGATATGACAGAAGATTTATGTGGTGTTAAAAAAAAGCTTTCAACTACTTTAGCTACAATATGCTTAACAAAAAAAAAAAAACTATTCTTGTAATTCAGAACGAATAAATCATTTATTAGCTTGTAGTTATAAAATTCGACCCTATCAATTATACTGCTTGAACTTGTTTTTATTGTCTTTGAAATAAGAATTTTTAACGAAATGGAGTTTCACATAAAGAAAAAATCAGTACTTCTAACTTCATGTATATAAAATTGACAATTGAGTTCGATATCAAATTTTTCTCAGTACAGATAGAAAATATTTGAGCTCATATTCAATATAAAATTCTGATTCGGATTTCATTTTCAAGCGAGTAAAAAAAGGAACAAACATTTTATCTTCCAAAAAAAAAGAAAAAAACACCATATTTTTATTCTCTTAAAAGTTTATCACAATCAGTTTTTTTTGTTTTTACATATTCATTAATATTGTAATTGAAAAGAATTTTATAATATTGAATATTCCTTAGATATATAAATGTTTTTATTTGTTGTTTCATCGAATTTGTTGAAACAAAACATGATTAGACATTAAACTATCTGAAATCTCATTTTATTTATATTATAAAATTCAAATTAAAAAAAAAAAAACAAGAACTATTAGTTTTTTTTTCTTTTTTTTGCCCAATGAAATTTTTATCATAAATAAAATATTATTGATATTCAGTAAAAAAAAATTGATGTTCTTTTATCCAATGTTTAGCACGTCGACGACGATCACTTTCATGACTAAATATAGAATCATCATCAATGAAATCTATATCATCTTGTTGTTGATGTGGTTTTGCTTTTGTTGTTTCAATTAAAATTTCTTTTAATGGTACTGTTAAATTATTTCGTTCATTAATTTGTGTTGGAGATAATTCATTAGAATTTTTTACTGTTGTTGTTGTTGTTAATGAAACACCAGGAATTTTACTATGTTGTCGATATTCAATTAAACGTGTTTGTGCTCGTCGATATTGATCACTATTTAATAAACGACTTATAGGACCATTATCATGTTCAAATACAAATGGAATTTGTAATTCACGATAAGATAAAAAATCTTTATCATTAGTAAATGTATTATCAATTGATTGTCGATTTATTTGTTTTGATGAAATCGAAGGTAATTTTGGATAATGATGATTATCAATAAGATATTGTTCGAAATGACGTTCAATTGATGATGGTACACGAGGAGAAAGTGGTTGTAAATGAAGAAATTGACGATGATGGAATTGACGTGGAGAAACGTTTGATTCGTCTATAGTAGCCATGAAGAATGACGACAAACAATAAAATTTTAACAAAGATATCAATATAAATGGAATTATAAAACATATTGATCCTGACAACAAAGAATAGAAAAAAAATTTCAATTAATATAAACATTTTTCAATAAGTAATAATCATATCAAAACAAACATATTTTCATTTATGTTGAAACAATTATTTGATAGTCGAAATAACTTCAAAAAAAATCGAATGTATTTTCTTGTTGTTGATGCAGAGAATAACATTTTAAAAAAATGAATAATTATAAATTAGAATAATTCTGTATTAAATATCAAAAAGAAAAATTCAATCAAAAAGGAATAAATATATATCAATATGATATTTATAATACAATAATTGATTGAATTAAATTTTCCAAAAAAAAATTTCAATATCTAAAGGATGAATGAAATGAAAATATGTAATTCGATGACAAATATTTTTTTTCTTTTCTTTTTTAAGAGAGGACAAAAAACAAAAAAAAAAAAAAAAACAAAACATATGTACAATAATTAATTTTTGTCTGATGATGAAGGTATAAAAGATCCTTGAGAAAGAAATCCAAGTCCAACACCACGTCGTAAATGTGTTGTTATTCGTGCTGTTTGATATTCTTTATCAAGCGAATCAAATGTATTTTGTTGTTGTTGATTAATAGCATTTGTTTCTGTTAAATCATTATTTGTATTTCCACTTGTTTTCATACCTAATAATTTTCGAAATTTTTCAGCTGTTTTTTCATCTTGTCCATCTGTTATTGCTGCACCAACTTTACTTGTTGATGTCTAAAAATAAAAACCAATTAGAACCACAAAAAAAACAAAAATCTTTTATTTAAAAAAAATACTTTATCATTTGTTTTTGACCAAAGTAATTTACGTTTACGTTGTTGTTGAGCATATTGAAGTGGATTAACTGTACCAGTATTATAAATTTTTGGAACAGATATACCAGTTAATTCTTCAATCTAATTTAAAGATAGAACATAACATATTAATAAAAATGATATATGGATGTTATCATCTTCTGTATCCACATCCTAATTATTATATTTTATATCAAAAAAAAAAAGATAATGTCATTTAAAATATCATCCTAAGTACTTTGAAGGTCAGATAGATAATTACAAATCACTTATGATGACCTTTTTTCTGTATATCTATCAAAATAAATGTTTTGAAATTTAGATTTTGAGAAACTCATGTTTTTTTTGTATTCATTTAAATCTCTAGGTTGAAATTAATTCTAAAAATGTTAATTTTGATCATTTTTCGAAATTGATATAAAGAATCGACAAGAATTTATGTTATCTTTGACATGATGTAATGTATGTCGACTGGTATGTGCGACTCTGAAATTATTTTTCTTATCTTGTATTACATTTGATAGTACACATTTTGCTAGCTTAAATAAAACTTAGTAAATCTAGATCGGTTATATATATATATATATATATATTGATATTTTATTTAATGTCATTATGACCTTGTTGAGAAATGTTTACACGTTGTTATAAATAAATTTAAGACATTACTCAGCAAGACATATAGAAAATGAAATAAAGTATTCATTAATTTGACTTTATTCTTCCACATAGAATAATCTAGAACATTAATTTCGGGAACTGTTTGGTAATCATCTATTATTATTTATGACATTCTTTTCACATCATGATAATCATTTTTGATGTATAGGCAATATGGTGTATCGTCCTATTGATAAATGAAATCATTTGACCTTTAGCTTATATAGAGTGTAATAATACCATTATGCCGTTCTCTACAGCTTAAAGTATAAATGATATCGCAAAATATTTTAGACTAAATTAATCTTCATCAAAAAACTGGATTTATGAGTGTAATTAGAGAAATTATTACCTATAAAATGTCTTGAATTACATGCTTTATATATATTTTTTCACAAAAAATAATAACAGATTTATAATCTCCATCAAAAACTGAATGCTATAGATATGTCATTTGTATTTTTTTGAACCGAAATATCTCAATTTATATATCAGTAGACGAAGTTTTTGATAAAGATCACGAATTTGATATTTTTTTTTTGAAAAATGTAATAAAAATTGCAATATACGAGCCTGTTTAAGCATAAAAATGCCATAGATTTTATAATATCGGATCTACTATCCTGCCTTCTCACCAACTTAAATTGTAAATGATAGAATTTCAAAGGAGGGGGGGGGTCGTTAAGAGGCAAAAACGGCCCTTCGTCGGAATTCGGCCTTGTCTTTCCAATTTTATCAGTTTAGGTGTCAGAAGTCTATTTGTATTGACATTAGACAATTTGAAGCGTTCCACATTGTACGCGACTCAACTTAGTTATTCTTCTTTTCTCCATGTTATATAGGGCATATATAATGGTAGTATAGTACTTTTAATTATCAGAAACATATCAATCCATTTTGGATCATATACTAATCAATAGATCTCGTCGAGATCTGTCAGATAATGATAAAAAATCCTGAGAAAAAAGTGGGTCTAGTGATCGACATAATTAGGACAGGATCATATATTACAGGGTATTGAGTGATGGTAGAGAACTTTTGTCCATGAGAAACATACAGGCCTACTGTGAATTATACATTAATCGATAGATCTTATCGAGATCTATCAGATGATAATAAAATATCTGGAGAAAAAAGTTGGTATGACACTTCATTGATGCATACAATGCTCATTAATACCCAAAATGGCCCTTTTAGACTGATTTTGATCGATTTTCTCTTGGATAGTCAGACTTATTTTTAAAAAAAACAATATATTTGAAATCAGCACAAAAACCTGAGTCGATCTATGCATATGGTAAATTGCTTCATCGATTTTCATTTTCGTCGGAAAATTTAGCTGTGGTCGCCTCAAGAATGAGTTGGATTTTTTCGGCGAGAATGAAAGTCGATGAAGCAATTTACCATATACATAGATCGACTCAGTTTTTTGTGCTGATTTCAAATATATTGTTTTTTTGAACAACAAGTCTGAATATTCAAGAGAAAATCCATCAAAAATCAGTCTAAAAGGGCAGTTTTAGGTATTAATGAGCATTGTATGCATCAATGAAGTGTCTTACCAACTTTTTTCTCTAGATATTTTACCATCGTCTGATAGATCTCGATGAGATCTATCGATTAGTATACGATTCAAAATGGATTGATATGTTTCTGATAATTAAAAGTACTATACTACCATTACATGTCCTATATAATATGGAGAAAAGAAGAATAACTAAGTCGAGTTGCGTACAATGTGGAACGCGTCAAATTGTCTAATTTCAATAGAAATAGACTTCTGACACCTAAACTGATAAACTTGGAAAGACAAGGCCGAATTCCAACGAGGGACCGTTTTTGCCTCTTAACGACCCTCCTCCTTTTCTCTTTTAGAACTCTATATGACCGAATGCTAAATTCTTGGAAGTACAAACACATCGTACATGGAAATCATGACTATAAACTCGATCTTCGAAGAGGCGCTGCGCCAACGGTACATAAAACACTGTTTAGTCCTCCCGACAAACTCTAACATTGTCACATCTCTTACATAGAGTGTATTTATTGAATCGATCGATCGTAATTCTAGACTTACTAATTTTCTGATTTCATCCATTTGATACATAATTGTAGCACCTTGATTTGATCGTAATTCTTTTGGTACATCGACAGCTTTTTTTAAATCTTCAATTGTTAATTGAGATAAATCTAATGTATCGTTCGCTTTTAAAAAAAAAAAGTCAAAGTAGAAAAATCTTTTCTAAGAGATTCATAATAATTATTACCTGCCATATCTTTAAATTTTTGTAATGTTTCTAATTGAATACGTTTTTTTTCATCTTCATTTGCTCGTATTTCAATATGTATATTTCGATTTTTAACTTAAAGAAAACAAAAAAAAATTAATGTTAAAAAATTTTAATCATTTTACTTGGACTAAAATGTCTTCGTGGTGAACGTCGTCTTGATCTTGATCGTCGTCGTCGTGGTGAACGTGATCGACTATGTCGATGTCGTTTTTGTCGATGATGATGATGAGATCGCGATCGTGATCGTTTATGTCGATGACGTTTTACCGATGATGATCGTGAACGATCACGTCGTTTTCGATGACGTGATTTATCATCATTATTAGGCTAAAAATACAAAAAGAAAAAACATTCCATACTACATGCAATATTTTTCTTTTCTTTTTTACATGTAAGAAACTTTTTCAATTGTTTCACAAAAAAAAAAAAAATAATAATAATATTTCTATGATACCTACCAATAAAAATTGAAATCTCGTTAATAAAACTTACAATCTATTGAAATGAAATTTCTCCCATTTGATCATCGTCATTTAAATTGAATCGATCGATGACAAGTAGAACCATATCGAACTTTCTTTCGGATTAGAAAAACGATAGATTAGATTAGATTTTATTTATAGAAAAGCAAAAAAATAAAATGAGTATATATATATATGTTAACTATCTCTTTCTTTAAAATCTAACTGCAAAAATACAACAAACAAAAATCAAATAAAGAAAACATTATGCTTACTGGTGATTTTGTTGTTGATGTTGGCTTTTCAATTGTTACATCATCCGAACTACAAAACAAATATTTAAATTAAATAAAGAAAACAAAAAAAAAGGTTTTTCATTTACTGTTTGTCAGCCATTATAACATAAAGATAATAGTAAATTGATCTCTAGAAAATTGTAATACATAATAAAAATATATTAGAATGTCGAGACCAGTCATTGACGCTCCGACGATCAATTAAAATCTATCAGATACTTATAAAAATTTTTTTTTCCTCAAATAGTATTCACACTTTTCTCTAATGAAGGCTTATTCAGGTGTCCGAAACTCATGAAAAAAAAGAATCGGATATAATCAAAGAAGCGTTTTCAAATGTCAAACTACTTTTAAGTTTGAACTATGTGCATCACGTAAGTCATATGAATACTTTGAAAAATATCCGGAGTGTGAAATCAACCATGATCCGACCCACGCTACTGCATCCTATTCACCTCACAATGACATTATTTGCTTTCTTTTCAGAGAAAGGCAAAAGGTATTTCAAAACCCAGTTTCTATGCAAAGTCATCACGAAGCTTTAACTTTCGCAATAAACGATTTATGTTAAGGGTCATCTCTATGCTAAATTTAGTTTTCCTGAAAGTAGACAATGGCATACGGTTACTAAATGTTGTAAAAATCTAATAATTATTTTTTCAAGATATTCATAGCGCATTATTAACTTCAACGTTATAGATTGACTCTAAAATAATAGACAAATCAATTAGATCATTTCCAATTTCTGCATTTCGACTATGGATTTTTTCTCTATTGTTAATAATCGAAAGTAAGAAAAACAAAAAAAAAAAAGCTTGTATAGATTAATTCGTAGTTAATGAAATGAATGAGAACAAAAAATTATGATTCAGTTTATTTTTTTAAGAATTTCTATTGGTTCAAATTAGCCATTATCAATCACTTTGTCATAATTCTATATCAATAATAATAAATTTCTAAAAATTTTCTTATAAAAAATATTTATTTTTTTTTAAATAAAAAAAAAATTTCTATATTCAAAACTAAACTTTTTTTTGTTCTAACTTGTGGCTCCCTCCCTCTTACACCAAAAAATGAACAGATGATGATTTCTCATTATTATTATTATTATTTCTTCATATAATGGAACTGTCCGCATCATCATCATCATGTGCATGTAAAGGTATTCGTTCATGTAAACTTTGTGAAACAACAAAAGATAATAATAATTATTTAATAAATGAATCTACAACAAATATAATTTATATTTATTGTGATACATGTCGTCAAGCTATACGTATGGATATATATGAATTAAATTCTCAATGTCCACATCATAATAATATTGATAATAATAATGATATAAGTTTTTCATTAGATGGTATTTATCTTGTTCCAGATTTTCTTAATGAAGATGAAGAAAATAATTTATTAAATTTTATTGATAATGATATATGGATACCATCACAATCAGGTCGTTTAAAACAAGATTTTGGTATAAAAATTAATTTTAAAAAACAAACAATTAAAACAAAATATTTTACTGGTATGCCAATGTATTCAAAAAATCTTATTCAACGTTTACAAACATATAGATTAATAGATGATTTTCAATCAGTTGAATTATGTAATTTAGATTATAATATACAACGTGGTTCACATATTGATCCACATATTGATGATACATGGATATGGGGTGAACGTTTAATAACAATAAATTTATTATCAAATACAATATTATCATTAATACCTAATGATAAAAATACAAATAAAATTATTTATATACCATTACCACGTCGTTGGATGATTGTACTTTATGGTGATGCAAGATATGAATATAAACATGGTATACAACGTCAA